GACAATAAACAAAATTATAAAAATTAATCAAGATTTAATTTTTAATATGCTTTTGAAAGATTATAATTCTGAATTGTTTAAATTCAAAACAGCAATAAAAAATTATTAAAGAAAACAAATAGAAATAAATAGTTCAGTAGTATTAATAAAAACTTTATATTATTATATAAATTGGATGATTATAAAAGGCAATAGAATATTTCAAATACATAAAAAAACTGCAATTATAATACATTCTGGCTATAATAAATAATATGTTTATTGAGTTATTCAAAATAAATAAAATGATAATTTATTACTTATTGTTTAAATTTTTTTGTTTGTATTTTTTTGTTAAGCTACATGAATTTTAACTCATACAGGAGGATTCCCAAAATTCCAGGTCAGAATACATCAGAATCATGATCAGCAAGGCCAGAATTAACTAATTTTGTCCAAGATCACTAAAAGTTTTACTAATGAAACCATAGCTCACTCATTAAGTAAAGCTGTCTAGCTGATAATTTTGGTCCAAAATGGTTAACTTGCATTACTAAATACTAACTAAATGCCAGACTAAATCTAAGATATTCCAACCCAGAATTTTGGGGATCCTCCTGTATGGGTTATGAATTTTTAATGCTTGATATATTTGTTACATACTGATCAAAACTTTTTTGGATAGTGATTTTACTTCTGACTTAGAAATTGGTTAATGCAGGTCAGATAATATTTAATACAGACCAGATGCTATTTAATGCAGACCAGATGATATGCTAATGCAGGCCAAATAATCTCATTAAAAATCTCATGCAAGATCCAAAAAAAAAAACATACATCCTGTGCATAGCCATCACTAGTAGCAAGTGTTAACTTTGTTATAATACTCACACTCACCTTATATAATATCTACTTACTCAAATAGTCAGTAGTCAAGGTCATTATTTTATTTGTTAAAAAATTAAAGCTTTAAACTATTTTTAACTCAACTTTTGCATTTGTAGATATGAAATATCATTATTTTATATCATTCTAGTTAATTCTCTTACTAGCCCTTTTGCAGTAGACATTGCCAACAAAAATCTCATTGATAATATCAAAATTTCTATTGATGACCTTACAGTTTGACATCTTAAAAATCTTATTTAAAAGCAGAACCAATATGGTTTTGCCAATATTGATCCTGTCACATTGATACTATGGAAGGTTGAAGGTCTTAACAAATGAAACAGAAAGTAAGAAATACTTGAAAAGTTTCTTACTGAAATTGATATTAAGCAAGAATTTGGAAACAAGAAGTTGATTTTAACTATAAAGTTTAAAAAAACTTTTCTAGGCAAATTTCTAAATAATGCTATTTATGTTATTGTATAATTGCCCAGTAAGTGTTTTTCAATATTCTACTTATTGAATAAGAAAATTTGTAACTCATTTAGTTGAAAAAAAATTTATATATTCTATTAGAAAAAAGAAACCAAGATGATTTAGATGAGAAAGGTAAAGACCAAGAAAATAAAAAAGTAAAACTAGTAAGTGTGTATAATTTTAGATTTTTATTTTTAAACTAAACATCAATCATTTTAATATACATAATTATTTCTTAGCAACTATTAATAAAATCATAGAAAGTATAATAAAACTTCCTAATATTTGTAATATTTATTCAGATCCAAAAAATTTCCTTTTATTACTATTTCTATATCCAGGATTAAATAAACTAGTAGATAGATTTGCTATTGACAATGATGATTTTTTTTATCTTCATAAGAAGAAAGAAATTTAATATTATTCTAAACAAAATCAAAGAATTCAGATCAAACACTGATTATATAAAAATGTTTATTTATGTCACAATAGGTTACAACAAGTTCCATATTCTTACAGTAATGACTTGTTTTCTTATCTGAATTGAAAAACATGTTGTATATCTTCTCAATTGTTACGAATTGATTGTAGACCTAATGGAATACATCAAATCAATCTTCTTTTTCACCTATATGGATAATAATACAAAAACAAGCAAAATTAATGTTTGTAAAAGTTTTGATCAAATTATAACATTTTGTAGATTATTAGATAAGATATTATATTTTATAATAGACTAAATGAATTCTTTGAATGATTGTAATGATACTGAAGTTAATATTGAAAAAAAACAATAAGTTAAAAAAAATATTGATAAATTATGCTAGAATCATTTTTACATTAAGAGTTCTTCAACAAACAATTATACAGTATTGCATCTCAAGCAAAAGTAGACAAATAAAAAGAAAATTATACTTTATAAAGGATTCAATTAAGATGCTTTATATTGTGGATTTTATACATATTAACATAATATCCAATTTAGAAGAAGATGAAGGAATGGTAGAAGAAGTACAATTTCATTTTACCAACAATAGATAATTGGTAAAAGAAACAAATTGAGGATATCACTGTGAAAATTTTGCTTTTTTTAAATATTTTACTAGAATCTGATTACAATAATTTTAAAGAAACATTGAACTACTTAAATAATCAATTAAATTCAAAAATAAAAGAATTAATAACAAACTTTTTAGAAACTATACCAAAAAGAAGACAGGAATTGTATGTATTTATGTTTTGTTTTGCAATAGGTAAACTATATGAATACTGACTTTCTATATTTGCAATTATGTCAACTTGATGTCATCATTTCTGACAAAAGGTTGTTCTCCAAGTGGTTATGGGTTAATGATTTTGATCATTGCTTCTTCTACATTGAGAATGAAATATGTTATTATGTCTGTGGAATGGTGAGATATTGTATGATAGATTATCTTTATGAAAAGAAGTATTTGCAGATATAAATTGGATTGCTTGTATAAAGGCTTTCAAGAACAATCCTATAGTAATGAGATTTATTGTGAAAAAAGCATGCATTACCAATATTTGAAAAAATGGGCTTACAATAAATGGTACAAATTTTAAACCAAATGAAATGAAGTTTTTTTTACAAAGAAATAAAATTTTCTGCAAGTGAAGGAACATGCACATTTTTTATACCACGTATTTGGAATCAAAAGGATATTGACGGATTACTGATCTCTTACCAAACAGTCCGAGGACATAAAGTTGTGTGTTGCCCCAATTCAAATCACACTTAATAAAGATAGTCATAAAAATTCCGAGCATACTTTTTTCGATAGCATTTGAAAAAGAAATAAAAATACCAAAATATGATGATATTGAGATAATATTTATATGAATTACATATAAAAGCGATGCAAATAAGGAAGTGAGTTCTAACGTTAGATGCTTACAGTCTGGAACTAACGAAATTAATCCTGCTTACACTGGGTGGTGACAGCAAACCTAGTATCACCCATAAAAAAAATACAGCTGACGTCTCTTGTAAATATAATATATTATAAATAATGAGATCATCTGGTTTTTAAATTGATTACTCAGCGATTCGTATATTAAGAAATACACAACACATATAAATACTATATAAAATGTGACGTCAGCGGTATTTTTTCTATGGGCGATGCTAGGGCTGTTGGGTGGTGACAGGATCTGTGAATATCAACCAAGATATTCATAATTATTTATCTAAGGTTTTAAGTGCATGATTGTAGTTTATAGAATTTACATTCTTTTTAATGGTGTAATAAATAATTAAATAAATATCTTTAATCACATATTCTAGTTAATTGTTTACAGTCAAAAATATAGTAATATATAAATGGTAACATTTTTGTTTTTTTAAGCGAAAATTTCCGAGTTTACAACTATTTCTTGGTTTGCAAAATGTTTTTAAAAGCTATAGTTGGTTTTTAAGTACATATTACAGTAAAACGGTATTTGTTGATTCTTATCTCTAAATAACAACCCTGCCTTATTGGATACAAAGAATCAAAATTCTTAATTTAATAAAGCTTAGATATATCGAGCCAATACCCAGTCCTTGAACTTCGTTGTACGAAAATATGCCTACATTATTTTAAAATAACACATGGGGAGTATTCGAAATGATATTGAATACGAAACAGCCGATAACGGAATTATATGTAGAATAATTCATTAACTGGCTGTGGGTCCCAGAAACATATTAAATTTGCTGTCAGATACAGTTAAGGTATTGGCTGCGTTGCATACAATAATGATGATATTTGATAATTTATGACGATTGAACTCGCTAAATTAATCGAGTTATTTGCAAGCACTATCATAGTAAACTGACATATAAGAAACCTGCAGAAGATTTTTGGGCATATTTGAGGACCCGGTTCTTAAAACGTTAAAATATGCATATGCAACCCCAAGAAAACTTGCACAAATTCTTACACATTTAGGCAGCCCTCATTGAAAATTATTAATTTTATTTAACGCTTTATTTACGTAAATAATTTTAGCAATAGTTTAGATAACTGAAAACAACCTTGCATATTAGAAACAGAAAAGAGTAATTATTGTAGATAACTAATTGCAGAATTAGTTCTTATCGTTATGCGGGCGGAACATGAATTAAATAAAACCGCATAACTGTTTTCTATGTCGAAGCATCAACTCACGTGATAAGATACTATATGTAGGTCTACTTTTTGCTATCGAAGTTATTGCAAAAGTATTATTATTTTTTTTAACTAAATAATGGTGATGTAATGATTATATCATGAGGAATCACACGTGAATTATTTGTGAAACAAATTCTTAAAAGTTGACCTTTATTATGAGAAGAATGCAAATTCTTGTAGTCAAGGGGGGCATGCTGCTGGTAATTTAAACTTTATACTTTATTATTGCATAATCTTGGCTAAGCTGATCTAGCTATGGTTGTTGTAACCAATTTACACTGCATGTAACCAGTACACAATATAAAGTAAGATCTTTTGTTAGCAGAAACAAATTTAGGTTACTTGTTACTCCGTTGACAATATCTAGTAATAAGCCTTTTTAATTTTTAATTTTTAACAAATACGTCATTATTTTATCAGATCTCATCGTAATTGTAGGAATTAAATAAAGGCACCGAAATTTCTTGAAAAGTTTTAGCAATGTATACAGTAAAAGAATCTGATATCACAAAATACCCTGAATTTTCTCCTTGTGATGAAAAAATACCTGCAGTTCCTGTTACCAATGTAAAGAACAATAGAGATCCAACGGTTTTGCTGTTGGGTGAAACCGGTATTTGTTGCCTGTACTCTTACGTTAAGTGTTAATGAGTATGAAGAAAAAAAAAGATGATTGAACATATATATAATATTTATTATTTAGGAGAGAAAAAAAATACGCAAGGAAATTGGCTTGTGGGATTTGAAGAAAATATTGATCAAAAGGTTTCATATCAAAAGGCTGCCGACAATTGCTTTAAACCTAGCACTAAGGTTATACTTAATGTTGGAGAAATTGTTCCTATGTCTTCAATCAAAGTCGGGGATAAAGTTTGTGTAGGATCAAAACATGGTGTCTTAGAATTTTCAGAAGTTTATCTGATTGTTCATTGTAATCCTGAGGCTGAAACTGAATATCAAAAGATTGAATTTACTATGCCTACGACGGGGTTAACTGGTAGAATATCAAATAAGAATAGTTTCTTTACATCATTATGAATTAAGTTATAAAAACATTAAATAATTTCTTTTTTTAGAATCCATTTTGCTTACCCCAGATCATCACATATTCATAAACAATTACTTTGATTATGCAAAGAATGTTCAACCATATTCTGCCAAACTTCACGTTTTAAGTGGCGCTAGAATGATCCCCGTTCGAGTGGCTAACGTTTCTACAGTGAGTTGATTAAATCTGTCATAATTGTATTTGATTTCTATCTAATCCTTATTTTCTTTTAAAAAAGGAAACTCACAAAGGTTATATTTCTATATTAACACGAGCTGGTACAATAGTAGCAGATAATATACTGTGTTCATGCTATGCTGCTTGTGTTCCATATCAAGATGCCATTCATACAGTACTTTCACCATTAAGATTTATGACATGGTTTAAAAAGTCTACGCATACAGGAAAAGGAATTCATCCGTATCTTGAATTTTTATATAATAGATATAAAGATGTGAATCGTGTTTATAATAGTTTTGAGAATGCCAAATCTCGAATGTTAAACTTTTAATGATAGTAATAATTCTTCTCTTTGTAAATTTATTTAGCTTTGAACCTGCATGTGCCGTTATTTTAAATTATTTTGTAAATAAAGTGTCTTTGCAATGGATGTTTGTCGCAGTTTTCAAAATGATTTATTACGGATTGGGATAATTAGCATGAAGACATGCGGCGTATCCGGTTACAGTCATTGACAAGATAATTATTGGTAATTTAGTGTCAAAATTATAAGTGAAAAAGTGATAATTGAAAAAAAACTTTTTGTTAAGTAAAGTTGCCGTTGTAAGTAGAATTTTTGGGTGCCAGACAATCAAAATCTTATTAGTTTCAAAATATCGGTTTTGTAGGACTCTAACGTCATAAGCATAAAAAATTTCGCTTGGAGTGTTAGGGTTTGGCGTTAAGTGTACAGCATTTTTTGTTTTCGTTACATCTGATCTTTGAAATTTGATTGGCGACTCTGTCAAGATCTTGATTGTACCAAATGCTTTTTATCACATTATAACATTAGTGGGAGAAAAATATTTGTCATTATAATAAACGCAATGATTTCAATTACGATCATATGCTAAATAAAATTAAAAGCAATTTTGGCCAGTTGCAACTTGGAATATTAAAGATTTATGCTACAAGTGTTTCAGAGGAATAATTAGGAAAGTCATTAATAAATGTGGTCAAGAAGATACATTACTCTGGTTATACTAACACTCTCTAGCAATAAAAAAAAAAACATGTTTAACATATCAGATGTTGATTCTAATTGCAACACAAAACACAACGAAGGCTACTCGAGGGAAGGCGTGCAAGACTTGGTCCGGAAACCAAAGATCTTACTGTCACTAGGATCCCTGGGCTATTGTTGGATGAATCTTTATTAATAATATGTTTCACTTTACTCCTTAGTTACATGAAAGAAATGGGTTTAAATACATAATGGATAAATTGGAGGTTTTACTATTACAATTAGATCTAATCTAGAAACAAAATAATGACTATTTAAAGTGTCGGGTAATTCATACTCATTTATATGACTATGCTTTTGCTTATACGTTGTGAGGGGCGGATTTGGGGCTACCGGGTCCCTCATGGTTAAAACATAACAAACATAACGCAAAGACACAAGCAACTCGAAAGAACGGCGTGGAAGATTTGGTCCGAGAACCAAGGATCCTGGTTTTAAGATGTGTCTTTATTAATATTCAATTTCTACTTAACTGTCTTTTTACCAACAGAAATTACAGGATTTTTATACAAGAGAAATACAGCGGAGGCTTTGACGCGGCCTAACTAAATTGAGTATCGGGGGGAATCTACAAGCTACAATGAATTATTTACGCAACTATGACATAAAGCCATTATTCAATAAGATAGCTGCGCAACGTTGTCATGCAAAACCAGGAACGGGAGACGTAAAGTGTATTGGTATTGCATGTAGTAAATCAGTATATAGGTTGTTGCACTATTGAGCATATGTAGTGATATGTTATATATACAGTACACTATGTACTGTTAGTTAGCATGATTGTGGCATAAAGCAGTGGTTAGAGATAGGAAAATCGAATCTACTGCGCAGGCTGCACAGCCTCAGGTTTCACATTTATACATAAAAAAACATCTATTTCATATGTGTAAAGTTGGGCTCTCATCATTTTTAATTAGTATTTCAAGATTAGTTTAAACATCAGTTTTTGTTGTTTTGTGTTTTTTTTACTTTTTTTCTGCATATCAGTGAACTTGCATCATCTGGTAAATAGGAACACATCCTTAATAATTCTGGTCAAATTTGCAGATCATTTAGCCAGATCTAGAACAAAACATTTTTAAATGTGATCAAATGATCTGCAAGTTGACCAGAATTATGAATGATGGATTCTATTAATCAGGTGATGCAGATCTATTTTTCTTTCAAACCAATTTCTGATTGGTAATTCAAATCTGGATTATAAAGCTGATCAAAATTATACCAGCTGGTCAGAATTATGAAAATTGCACTGCACAGACTCAAAAAATGCCTGTGCAGTGTCTCATCTCTAGCAGTGACTTATTTTTAACTGTAGATATTATATATAATATTGTATTATACAATTGTATAAATATGTATAGACATATAAAAATTGAATAAAAATTTTGATAGTAGGTATGGTTAACATAAGTTAGTAAAATTAATTTTTATAAGTTCATTATCTATTTAGCACATGGATATGATGAATTATTGGATATGATTAATAAGTATTATTTAATGTAATTATTTAGCTAATACTTATTATTAGTTAAACAAACGCTTTCTGCAAATCCATTGCATAAAAATTAACTAAAAAAAACTGTCCGTCTAAAAACGTTCATAACTTTTAATTTTACTAAGACAATCTGTTCTAGTGTCTTAACTAAACTTGTTTAGCTCAGTGATTTACATATACTCTGAAAATATTATAGATCTAGCTCTTAAACTTATAGAGAAAACTGTACTGATGACCTTTGACTCTCAATTTAAAAAAATTAACTCTCTCACAGTTTCTACTGCAATAACTTGTCTTATACCTTTAATTAAAGTTGTAGTACACACTTGTCTGATCAAAACAAGCTCTAAAAGAAGAATTTTGACTCAATATTAACAGAACTACAGTTAAACTTACCTTTTACTATCTTGTAAAATTTTTTTTTCTACCTTTTGTCCTTACATTATTACCTTTTTCTCTTACATGAATTTCATGTAACCATGTCATCATTTCCCAATATATACTTTATTAATTTACATCAAAATTCTGTAACCCATCTATTAATAAAAATTCATTGAACACAATTAGTTATTTCCATATTTGGTTCTTATCAATTTTATACAACAATTTGTATTGCAAACTTTAATTGTACCAGTACCTGAGTCATATTTGTGATCCTAATTATTCTAGTCACATACCAGTGTTACTTCTGTAATATTTCAATTATACAACCCTTGTTCTCATCTATTACCCTTATAAAATCAACTACTCAACTATTAGAAATCTTTCTAAGTTTCTAATATAATACTCATCTAATTTATAACAAATTTAAAAAATGTCTACATTAAGTAACCAAGAGCCTGATACTGCAGACCTTGATTTTTTCTATCAAAACTTTTCTAATAATTTTGGAATTGCTCTTTATAAAGAAGAAAATAGTAATAACACTCATCCAATTTCTCCTAAAGTCAAACCAACTTCTTGTTTAATTAAAAATCTCAGAAATAACAAAATTATTCACTTTTTTTAAGCTCCTACTTCTACCTCTGTGATTACTTGTCTCTGTGACAAATATCATATTAAATTTATCTCAACTTCTAATACCAACTATATTCAAGCTACTAAATTTATTACAGACTATATTAACAGTAATACAAAAAAGAATCTTAACAAACCAGTTCAACAACTTCTAACTAATCTCTTCTCTTCAATTAACAATATTCCTTCATCTCCTACTCCTGATATACATTATCATACTTGTCCCAAATGTTTTTTTCCTATTGGTTGTACCAAGAAAAATGACCAGCACTACCTTAATGAAAAATATATCACTAAAAACAATGAAGTCTACTATCTTAACTGCATGACTGCCTCATCTCAACATAAAGCTAGCTTATCTCAAACTAAGAAAAATCTCACTCAAACCTTCCAAAACATCCTATATGAATCTTCTTAAACTACCAATTCCTTTACTACCTCTTTCTACCAAATCTCAACTTTTTCTGATTTTATTGATTCTTTCTTTACTACAACTACTAATACTAATCTCATTTCTAACCAACCCTCTACTACTAACATTTCTGATAATGCTAACTTAAATCTTAATAATTCTAACAATACTAACCCACCTGATAATACTATTAACAAACCTTCTTCCCAAACCTATTCTAGTACTGCCAAACCAAAATCTAACCCTACATATGACTGACTTACAAATTTTTTAATTACTGAAAAAATGCAATCTAATAAAAAATTACAAACTATCTTTTCTCTTCAACTCTTTACTTTTCTTAAAAAATTTCTTTATAACTTTTATCCTGGTAAAGAAATCAAGCCTATTACTGCTACTCAATCTGCACTAAAGACCTCATTCTATTACATTATTTGTATTATAGCTGGGCAATGGCCAGAATTTTTAACTAACCTTATCTATAATAACAATCCTAATATTAACAAAAGTGCTATTATTCCTTTTGATCTTCTTGAATCCATTCTCAAAAATTTACTTCTTAAATTTACAATTGTTCTCTTCACAAAACTTAACTATCTCGAAATCTTTGTCTCACTAGTAACAATCCCTCTATATACTGCTCATAACTGTCTCCAACTCTGCCTCAATCTTGTATGACTTCATCTCTTTTTATCCAATAACTACCAATCAATTAACTATCAAAAATTTGTTGAAGATCTAAAACTCAAACCCAAAAGATTTAAAATTGAATCTTTTACTCAAACTACTGATCTTAATCAAAAATATCTTATTATTCAGTCAGATGCTAGATTTAATATCAAACTCTTTTTCAATATTCTTAAGACATTATTTCTTGAAAGATTCTGTATTCTTTCTCTCAAAAACTCACTTGATCATTTTAACTTTTGATTTGAAACTTACTTTTCTTCTTACAGTTGACAATTCTCTTCTAGTATTGACAAAGAAAAAGTATATACATCTCTCAAAATCCAATTTCGTCAACACTTCATCTTACAATTTTCCAAACACCTTCCTGAATCTTATATTTTCAAAAAACCTAATTCTCTCTATAAATAATGTGAAGAAGCATTCCATGTTGCTAACTTTCATTGTCTCATTTGTAATAACAAATCATGTTCATATCTTAATGATAAAAAATTTTATAATAGCACCAAACTCTTTAATGACATATTAAGCAAATCTTACTTAACATTTCCTTTCCAAGATGATGAAACATGGATCCATCCAACTTTTAACATTTCACTATTTCATAAAAACAAAGAACATGCTGCCTTACTTGACCAACCTATTCCTACTAAAGTC